CGGAGTCCAGCAGGGACCGGGCCAAGTCGCGCACCTTCTTGTTGTCGTCCAGCAGGGCCCGGGCCAGCGGCACCACCTCCTGCTCCGTCAGCAGGTCCATCTTCCCCAGGGCCTCCCAGGCGGCCAGCCTCATCCTCACCTGGGGAGAAGAAGCGGGACCGCCAGCCTGGCCCAGGTGCCCCCCGCGGCTGGAGCACCCCCGCTGGCCCGGAGTCGAGCCAGCCCCTGCCAGGGCAAGGGGTGCACCCGCACAGCCTCCCTCCCAGAGTTAACCCCCGGATGCGTCCTGAGAAGCCAACCGGCCCTTGGCCTGCCCAGCCAGGTCCCTCTGCCCCCCAGGCTGCCTGCCAGGAGCCCGATCCAGGCCAGGCTGTGCCAGCACAGGTCACTGCAGCAAAGACGGGCACCCAGAGACGCTTGGCATCCCCTCCCCCGAGTTCCTGGAAGGGGCCACCCACCGCTGGCCTGCTGGGCTGCCCATGCGCATTCGGCACCCGCATTTCTGGAAGAGAATCTGGGGGAACCCTCGCGGCTCCCCGGGCGATGGGAGCTCAGCCAGCAAAGCCACGTGGGCCCCCTTTCCCGCCCGCCTCCACCCGTGTGGACTTTCCTCCTCCCCGGCCCTCTCCCCGCAGACATCCAGCCGCGGCCCCTGGCACGGGGGCTGCCAGTTCGCCTGCACAGCAAAGCCCGGGGACCCCGCCAGGGCCCGGCCACGTCCCCGCTGGAGCGGCAGCCCCTGCGGTGTCCCCCGGTGCCGCCCCCCGCTGGGGCTGCTCGCGGGCCGACCTCCTTGTGGGTGGTGTCCAGGATGAGGCGGTCGAAGGCCCGCTCCTGGACCGCGCTGGGCAGCGCGTAGGCCTCGGCGAGCTGGACGAGGGCCGAGGTGCAGAGCACGTAGCTGGAGTACGGCACGTCGTCCATCAGGCTCAGCAGCGCCTCCACGACGCTGGGCAGGGTGGTGTCGCTGGGCTTGTGCCGCAGCCACGGCTTCGCCACCAGGTCGGACAGCAGGTCGCCCCGGCGGGGCCCTTCCGCCGAGGACGTCCCGTGCCGCATCTTGTGCGCCTTCTTCTTGCGGGCCTTCTCGGCGGCCTCCGAGGTGTCCCCCTCTGGCAGCTGGATTTTGATCACCCTCCGCTTCGGCAAGGGGTCCCTGCTCTGCAGCAGCGAGCACCGCAGGGCCTCGGGCGTCCCCTTTGGGAACAGCCGGGCCCGGACCACGGAGTTGGGGACGTAGCCGTCGGGGGCGATGGGCCAGGAGCGCCCGGGCTGGAAGGGGATCCTGCGCAGCAGCGGGACGTCAGTCAGGGGCGGGAGGCCGCGGTAGGGCGGTGGCGCCAGGGGCGGTGCAGCGGGCTTCTTCTCCGGGGGCCGGTGCTGCTGGATGAGCTCGTACTCCAGGGCGAACTCCGGGTGCACCTCTTTGGTGGCCGGTTCCTCCCCGTAGAAGTCTGGGCCGGGCAGGCGGCTCGCGTCCTTGCCGAAGAGCTCCGCCACCCTGGCCACGCCCTTCTCCAGCACCACCTCCTTGTGGTTGGCGATGGGCTCCAGCCGCTCGTACTTCTTCGCCAGCTTGCCCACTTGCCGGTACCTTTGGAGAAGAAGGACCCACGTCCTACAGGGCTCCCCCGCCGAGCGTCCGCGGAAGCCCAGGCCCCCGCACTGTGCCGCGCCCCCCGTCCCACAGGCACGGGCCGGGCTCCTGCGAAGGGCCCCGCAGCGCAACCCCACTGTGCTTGATGGCTCAGGCGGGACAGACGCTGGGGCCATGGGCAGGGGCCGCTCGGTGCCAGGCACGCCCCGTGGTCCAGCAGCGTGGCGGGAGGCCATCGCGGCCGAGGGATGCGGGACGGGCCCGGGACGGGAGCACGCAGCCGGCCGGCTCTTGCCCTGAGGCAGCCCGGCCTCCCACCTGGCGCCCAAGCGCCCGCACCGCCTGCGCGTCCGCCTGGCGGCTGCTGCGACAGCTCCAGCCACAGGTCAGGAAGGGGCGCGAGGAGCCCCCGTGGGAAGTGAGGGGTGCCCCCTCGCCGTGGCTTCCCTTGCGCACCTCCTGCCCCTCCCCGCGCCTCCCGGCGCAACTCACTTGGGCACAAAGACGATGTCAAAGGAGAGGAGGAAGCGCGACACGAAGGGCAGCGGGAGCTCCACCGCGTCGTCTCGCACGCGCTGGGCCAGCAGCGTGCCGAGCTGCTTGCTGGGGAGGTACGTCACGCACGAGATGAAGAAGATGTTCATGTTGCAGCCCACGACCAGGTCGCCGCGCTGGTTGGCGAAGCAGACGCGGCTGAACTTGAGGCTCGTGTCGAACTCCACCAGCAGCTGCCCCAGGATGTCCCAGATGCGCACAGAGCCATCCGAGCCGCCGGTCACCAGCATGCCCAGCGGGTGGCAGTAGTCGAAGGAGGTGATGCTGGTGGGGTGCAGCGTCGCCGTCTCCTTCCAGAAGGGGTTCTTCTTGCCGGGGACCAGGGCCCCGTGGCGCCACAGCCGGACCCGGTTCTGCTCCGTCAGGACACAGATGTAGCCGGGGATGAGCAGGAGGCGGTGGATCCGGCAGTTGGTGCTGGCGATGGCCACGAGGGGGACCACCTCGAGGAGGCGGTTCTTCTTCAGGACGACGTTGGAGAGGATGATGTATTCGTCGAGGCCGTAAGAGCACAGGTAGGAGGACTCCCACGTGTGGGGCGACGGGCTCCCCGCCGCCGAGATGCTGCTGAGCGCCACCACGTTGCCGTCGTGCAGCTTGCGGCTGCCCATACGGTACAGCTGCTGGGTGACCGTGCGCACCCTCCCACTCTTGAAGCCGCTGAAGATGAAGCTGGAGGTGCGGCCCTCCAGGTCCAGGCGGCTGTAGGCCAGGCAGAGCACCTTGTCCTCCACGCTGTCCGCAGCGCGCAGGATGTACTTGACCGGGCAGGGGTTCTTGGACGTGTCCAGGGCGTAGATGTCGGTGGTGCCCATCGTCACCAGCAGCTCCTCCCGGTCCGGGTCGTAAACGGTGTCCAGGGCCTTTTCCAGCAACTGGAAGGGCCAGGTGATGAACAGCATTTCCCCAGTGATGGGAGAGAGGAACCGGACGACGCCGTCCTCCGTGGTGGCCAGGATGCGGGCTCTCTCGGGCCCACACTGCACCCGCACCAGGCCCTTCAGCATCGATTTGGTCCTGTTGAAGAGCTGGTAGAAGTTGTTCACCGTGCGGATGGTGAAGGTGAACTGGGTGCGGAGGAAGAAGGTCTGCTCGGTGATGAACTGCATCTGGAAGACCTCCTCGCCGATGTCCACGCGCCGGAGCAACTCGCAGGTCGTCACGTTCCACTCCTTCAGCAGGCCGTCCAGCGAGGCCGTCATGAGGGTGTGCACCGGGATCCGGCTGATGATGCTGGTGATGGCACTCAGGTGGGCCTTGAACTGGCTGACCTGCCCCCCCGTGCCGAAGTTCCACACCTTGACATCCCCGGCGAGGTCTCCAGTGTAGAGGAAGCTCTGGGACCAGTTGGCCGAGCAGCACGTGAGGGACACACCCTGGCTCACCTGGAAAGCACGGATCAGGGCCCTGCTGTGGGAGTCATACACGCGGATGACGTTCTCGCACAGGGCCAGCAGCACCTTCTGCTCCTGCTCGAGGCTCAGGGCGTGCACGAACTCCCCGCTGGCGATGGGCACCTCCTGCGCCACCCCCATGGACAGGCCCTCCTCCGTGGCCAAGGACCAGAAGATGACCGTGCCGATGGCGCCGGTCACCAGCTCGCCGGTGGCCGGGTTGAAGCACATGCTGGTGATCGAATAGGGTGAGCGGCTGTCCAGGAGCAGCTTGAAGTCCCGGGTGTGGTCCGCGAAGAAGCGGAAGTGGACGTCGTCGCAGTAGGCCACGAAGAGGTGCAGGCGGGGGGCGTGGGTGATGGCGAGCACCATGGGGTCCTCATCTATGGCGTAGACTTTCTCTGTCACCGGCGGCTCCTCCTCCTCCCGGTACACCCAGGCACGCACCTGCAGGGGAGAGGGGACCCCCGCATGACGGGCCCGCAAGGTTTTGCCCTCCGGAGCCGGCGGGAATGCTCCCCTGCCTGGCCAGCGAGCCGCGCCCCAGGGGTTCTGTTTCCTCGCTTGGTATTTCTTGGTTTGCTCACATATCTGCCCCAGCCCTTCGATCCCAGGGCCCCCACAGAGGGTGCATAGATGCTGCAGTACAGCAGAAAGCCCTGGAATCAGGCAGGCGGGCGAGAGGCCGGCTCGGGGGCTCCCGCCGTGGCTGCTGGCCCCCCACCCTCCCCATCCTGCACTGAGAAGCGGGGGAAGAGCCCACTCAAGGAAGGGGCCTTCACCTCATCCCTGGTGCCGGGTCCCTGGGTGAGGAGTGGCAGAAGACCGAGGCCCCGGGGTGCTAGGACTTCGCCTTGCCCTGGGAGTGGGGCTGGCTGGCGTGTGGGGCCCTTGGAGTGGGGAGGCCCTGCCTCGGCTGATCGCCTCCCCCCGGGCCGGGGAGGGAAGGCCGCGCAGCGGCCACGGTGGCCTGGTGCAGCCTCCGCGTCGCCAGACCGGAGGGGCCTTTCGCGCAGCCCGGCAGCCTGGCTCCCCCTGCCGTTCTGGGCCGGAGGGGGCGAGTCGCGGCCCCGGGCCAAGGAGACGGCGGTTGGAGCCTCCGCTGCGGGCCAGCCCCCACCTTGCTTCCCTTGGCCCTCCTCCAGCTGAAGGACGCGAAGTAGTGCTCCACGTCGCTCGTGTAGAAGCAGATGATCGGCATGCAGTTGGGGAAGCAGCTCTCCCGGAAGACGATGCTGGGCCTGTCGCTCAGCCGGATGTGGGAGCCCTCGCTCGGCTCCGGCAGGCCCTGCCCAGAGAGGAGGAGGGCAGGCGAGTAGGGGGAGCCGCAGCCCAGGTATGCCCCGTGCGTGCGGCACAGCTCCTCCTCGGAAGGCGCCCTGAAGGCCCGGAGGAAGGGCCTGGCGCGAGGCGCTCGAACCCTGCGGCCTCCGGAGGAGACCTGCCCCGTGCGGTCGCTGCCGTGTGCACAGAATGTCTCCAGGGCACCGGTGCCTCGGCCTTTCCCCACCACTTCATTCTTTTTTTTTAACCAGCCAAGATCTATGAAAGCAGAACAGGGGAGATCGGCTGCCCAGTGGCTGGAAGCACTGCCTGGGTGCGCCCACTGGCTCCCTCCCCAGCCATCTTGCAACATGCGCGGGCGCACAGCCCTGCCCCACCCCAGGGGAAACCGTGGCTCGGCTCACGTGGCGCCCGGCCCCTTTACCCGCTGGAGTTCTAGCTTGTCCTGAAGTTGGTATTTGAGCTCCTTCCACTGCGGCACGATGCAGACCGGCCCCTTCAACATGACGCCGCCTGGAGGGTGCCCTGGGCTCCGCTGCTGCGGGGGGCCAGCCTAGTGCAGGGGGCACGTGTGCCAGGGCGCCTCCGGGGCTGCCTGGGAGAGGGACAGACGGGCCCTGAGCTGGCGCGGGGCGGAGCCTTGTGCTCGGCCCTCTGGGCCTCGGGGGTGGCGGGGGACTGCCCTTCCCCAGGAGCCAGAGACACTCGCTGTTGGCGTGCCCCCATTGTGGGGGTGCTGCGAGCACGCCCCACATGGAGCCTCGTCTGGCGGAAACACGCCTGCCGCCGCAGCCAGCCCGGAGCACGGGGGCCTCTGCGGCAGGAGGGGCCGTTGGCCTTGCGCCGCGCCACTGCCGGGGGAGCGGTCGGCCACCTGCCCAGCGTGGCCTGCGGAGAGGCCGTGGCTCTGTGGGCCCTCAGCCAGGAGGGGGCCTCTGCCAGCCCCTAGGGTCCAGGGCTGCCCTCACTGAGCAGGGCCCCCTCCCAGTGCCTCCGGAGAGTGCCGAGCTGTCCCCCCGGCCCTCCTGAATGGGGAAGCGCATGCCGGGTCTCGGCCGGCCAGCCCCAGGCCCAGCCCCTGCCCCCGGCTCAAAGGAGGCTCGGGGGACCGGGAGGCTGCGGGGTGGCTGTGAGGGAGCGCGGCTCCAGCGGGTCCCGTCTGGGCAGCGGTCGCCAGGGCCGACGCGTGGTCAGGACACGAAGGAAGGTGGGATTACCGGTTGGGATCCCTGGAATCCTGCGGGAAGGGCGGCAGTGTGACATCACAGCCTTCCAGCCAACAGGCAGCGAGCAGCCAGGGCCCGGCGGAGGGTCCTCTGGGCGACGTCAGGGGGGCCAAAGTGCGCGTCGGAGGCGGAGCTGGACGGAAGGGTGTCCAGGGAGGGAAATCGCCCCTTCTGCCTGGGCTGCGTGAGGCTGCCTGCTTGCCTTCTGCAGAACATGGGAAAATCAACGGACCTTTTAATGGGATAGCAGGGTAAACGCGGAGATGACATGCAAGCGGCTTGGTTGTGCATCCCAAAATGGGATCCCAAAATGGGATCCTAAAATGGGATCCCAAATGGGATCCCAAAATTCAACAAGCCTGAAAAGAATGGAAAGTTTTAGGGTTCTTTTCAAACGGTAAATCTATCACTTCAGCAGGAGCCCTTCCTTGCTCTATTCATGTTTTTGTTTTGAGAGCTCATGGGAATGTCTGTTTTGGTTTGCGTCTGTACACAATATTTAGTTTCAAATAAGCTTTAAAAGTTGCAGTACATAAAGCTACAATTCTAAGCACTCTTCCTAGGAGAAAAGCGCCACTGCCTAGAGGGAGGATTACTTCTGAGTAAACATGCACAGGATCACGCTTGCGGAGTGCAAGCAAAGAAATGTGCGTCCACTGCGTGTTTTTGCCAGACTTTTAAAAATGGGATGTTTTCAGGCTGGGGAATGGGATGGGGTGCGGTGGGAAAGGCTCCCCTGAGCCGCGGTGATCCGCCTTCCCTCAGGATGCCCCGAATCCACTGGGTGCTCCTGCCTGTGGGTGTTGTGAGCACGGCCGGTCATGTAGACGTCTGCAGAGGAGTCCAAGACTGGCCTTCGCTCTTCTCAGGCCCCGGGAAGCACGAGGCTTAACTCACACCCTAGACGTTCTTAGTGTGATCCTTTAACACTGTTTAGAGAGGTGCGTGTGTGGTGTGCATTGGTGCAGTCTGTTCGTCCGTCCGTCTCTGTGCAGTTTCACTGCCATGTCTAATCTGGTAAGGCTTTTGCACTCTGCAGGCTGCCCAGAGAGCTCTGGCTATTGGGCCTCGGGGAGGAGTTAGCCCCGCAAAACCCAATGCCGGAATCGGCCCCTTGTCACAGATAAATCAGAAGCCCCCCCCCCCCGCTCCCCTTGCATTTGCATCCAAATCGCAATTCCGTGATTTGACCGTAATGAGCATCTTTCTCCATAAGGAGACACTCGCCTTTAGGGCTATAGGGTACAGCCAGGCATTAATAATGGAAGAGGCTTGCATTATTGATGCCTCGTTACGCAACCGGTGTTTGCCGCTCATCCCCTCCGCCTCATTAAGGGGCTGCTCGTTCAGCAAGAGTGCAGCATCACCCAGCCGAGCCCAGCGCCAGCCTGCGGCTCGGCCCGGCTGGGCTGGGCGCGACCGTCGTCCCGCTGACCAGCACCGCGGCCGGGCAGAGCCCTTCATCTTCAGGGAAGGGCCCGAAGCGGCGCTATGCCTGGTGTGGGGAAACGTGTGGGCGGAGGAAGTGTGGGGGGAGGCTCGGTGTGGGCTGCCCCACGGAGCTCCTGCTCGGGGTCCGTGCAGCCAGGAACCGGAGGCTCCTGCAGGAGGGCTCGTGACCCCATCTCTGCCCGGACGTGCCGAGAGCTCGGATCCGGAGCACCGGAGTGTGGGGCTGGCCTCCTGCTCCCGAGCAGCCCAGCAACCCGAGCTCTTCCCCGCTTTGGCACCAGCTGCCGGATCACCAACTCACTCGGCTCTTCCTGCCCACAGATGAGGCGGCTCCCTGGTGCTGCCATGGCAACCGGAGGGACGGACCACCTTCTCCATCCCAGGATGCAGGGAGGTGGGAGGCTTCCCCAACCCCTTTTCTAGCCCC